AGTGAGTATTCATCTGGCCCATTTGAAGCAATACAACTGTAAGTTACGACTTCACTATATTCATATATATCCTTATGGCTATTGGTGACACCATTTGGTATTTTTCCAGGTGGTTGACACAAAATCCTTTCACAATGTGGGGGTTCATTGTCCCAATCCACAGTATTATTTTCAGAAAGTTGGTAATATAGAATTGGCGATCCAACTAAGTAATAACCATCATTACAATAATAGTTAGACTGTGAACCAAACTCAAAGTTTTCACTGACTTGGCTATTTAAGGGTTCTCATAGTTGTGGACATCGTCTTTTTGTACAAGCCTCCTGGAGGGGGTTCCATGTGCCATCAGGTTGACAAACAGAAGACATGCAAAGAAGAGGAACACTGCACATGTATCCTGGGTGACACTGATATTCTACATTGTCCCCAGGTTGATAAGTTTCCTGAGAAGGACCTTTGGGCACCATAGTGTTGAATCTTGTTGGAGGACCACAGGCATCTATGGTGGATGTGGGATGCAGGGACACTAGGCCCATCGTAACAACGAAGCTCCAAGAAGAAAAGGGACTCTTGAGGCGGTGGGGAGATGCTGTTTGAGACCTGCAAGAAGCTGCCATTTTCCAAGAGATTAGTGGGTACCAGACCCCGCACATCTCAGACTCACTGCAGATTGAGTGTGGAGCAGGGGGTGGGTCAACAAAATCTTTATAGCATTAGATTTGGCAATGATTTCTAGGATATGACCTCAAGAGCACAAACAACTAAAAAAAAAAAAGACAAATTGGCTTTTATAAAAATTAAGAAAATTGTGAGTAAAAAAGCAACCTGCAGAATGGGAGAAAATATTTATAAATCATTTTTCTGATAAGGGATTAATATCCATAATATATAGAGAACAAAAATCAACAACAAAATCCCCCCAAAAACTCAATTCAAAATAAGCAAAGGACTTGAATAGACATTTCTCTAAAGAAGAATTGCAAATGGCCAATAAGCACACAAAAAGATGCTCAACATTACTAGTTAGGGAAATGCAAATCAAAATTATGAGATACCACATATCACTCATTAGGATGGCTACTATCAAAAAACAAACAAACAAACAAAAACCAAAAAAACCCCCAACAAACCCAACTAAAACCCAGAAAATAAAGTGTTGGTGGGAATGTGGGAAACTTGAATTATTTGCTGGGAATGTAAAATGGTAGGTGTTGTGGAAAACAGTATGGTGGTTCCTTAAAAAAAATAAAAGTGGGTTTACCATATGCATATGATCCAGCAATTCCACTTCTGGGTATATACTCAAAAGAATTCAGAGCAGAGTCTCAAAGAGATAGTTGTGCATCCATATTCATAGCAGCACTATTCACAATGGGTATAACATGCAAGCAACCTAAGTGTCCAGTGACGGATGAATGCATAAGTATAATGTGATGTATATATACAATGGAATATTATTCAGCCTTAAGAGGGAAGGAAATTCTGACACCTACTATAACATGGGTGAGCCTTAAGGAAATTTTGCTAATAAAATAAACTAGTCACAAAAGACAAAAACTATATGATTCCAACTACCATATTTTGCTGTGTATAATGCGCTCCGGTATATATTGCACACCCACATTTTTGGCCCAAACTTTCAGGAATAAAGCCTTTCACTTTAAATGTTTAATTCAATAAATTTTTATTTATTTATATTTAGAAACAAAACCTTATTCCAGAGTATTATTTTGCATATGGATATCCTTATTGCTTTCTAGAGTTACACTTTTAATGCATAAATATAAATAAGATAATTAAAAATATTTATACAGATACAGAGTAGGTACTACCTGTGTATAATGTGCACCCTTATTTTTCCCTAAAAAATTTGGGCAAAAAATGAGCACTATACAAGGCAAAATACGGTATATGAGATACTTAGTATCTCAAAAATCATAGATGGGAGGAGAACTGTAGCTGCCAGGGGCTGGGGGAGGGGATGGGGAGTTAAGTGTTTAATGGGGACAGATTTCAGTTTTGTGAAATGAAAAGAATTGCAGAGGTGCGTGTGGTGAGGGGCACAACAATATGAATGTACTTAATACCATTGAACTATACACTCAAAAATGGTTGAGACAGTAAATTTTGTTATGTGTATTTTACCACAATTTTTAAAAATTTGGTTGGGGAAGCTCTTACAAATTGGTAAAAAATCATCGCCCACAAGGCAATTGGGGAAATCATCACCTGGCAAGTAACAACACTACAAAGAGCCAGTGATCAAAAACATGTTGAACTGCACAAAAACTAAAGACACGCAGACAAACCAACAAGGCGGCATCCTTCACCTATGACGTTGGCAAATAAGAAAAAAGGCAGCAACACTGCCCCTCGTCTGCCCCCCGTGACGGACACCAGGGTCCTTCTCCACTTCTCTGGTGGGCATCTGACAACAGCCTCGGAAACGCCTTGACATCTTCCACGCGTTTTGACCCAGATTCTGCTCTCCTGGGAGAAGGGGCCCGTCACAGCTGGGGCCCCCACACTCATCTGCTCACCACAGTGTCTACAATGGGCCACCACCACTGGTGTGGCGTGGGGAGTTGACATGTTTTAAGTCTTAGGTGGGTCTGCGGAGAACGTTGCTTTATGATATGGCCCAAAGCCAACGTGTGCCCCTCAGACGGGGGCCACCCCCCCAGGGCCTGCTCAATGAGCTGTATCCCTCGAACCCAAGGCCCCCTTTGGTTTTGCGCAAATGTACAAGAGGAACCACAGGAGGGACTGACTAAACATGGGGCCATGTTTAAAAGAAATAAAACTATTAATATTTGTGTTCTACCTAAAACAATCACAAGAGCTAGGTTTTTCCAGGATTATAAAGTGTTTTGTGGCTGCAAACATGATCTACCTACACCCCATGCACCTGGAGACCCCCGTCCAGCAGCCCTGGTAAGTAAAAAGGGCAGGTGCTATTAATCCTGGTCTCGTTCTGCAGACGAGAAACCGGAGGCTGAAGAGGGTGGGAGTGGCCTACACCCTCTGCTGAGGCCGGGGAAGAGCCTCCAGGCCCAGCTCCTTCTCCCAGGCACGCGCCATTCTTTTTCTGTCCTGGTCCGTCCCTGCTGGGGAGCTCGTCTGAGGCTCCTCTGCTGACCACGGCTCCTCACACACCTGAGGGACCGCAGGGGGCCCCCTCCGCAACAGGGCCACCTGTGCTGGCTGGCAGTGCAGAGTCACCACTGGGTGTTGGTGTGCACTGCCCAGTATAAGGGACCTGTGCCCCACCTGGCCAGGTGGCCCAGCGGATCAAGCCTGGCTTTTGCCTGGGACGTCACCTTCCCTGTGGCTTCCGCTGCAGATGAGCCCAGCAATTGGCCCAGCCGGCTTGTGGTTTGCACAGGCCTCCCAGGTCACTTTTACCAGCATAGTGAGGCAGCTTCAAAGCAGCCAGAGTGGCCCAGAGGCCTACTGAAACCCATGTCCAGCCTAAGGGACACCCCTGGGCCCTGGATGCCCAGCCCCGCCAGTCTGGCCAGGAGATTCCGAGTCACTGGTGCCTGAGGGCCCAGGCCCTCTCTCCCGCCCCACTCTCCTGCTTCTGAACGACTGAAGGAAGGCGGACAACTTCCCCCCTGGAGCCCCAAGTGCCTGTCCCGCCTCCTGGTCTTGGATGTTAAGCAAATGTAAGATGGCCTCCTGGCCAGAACTCCTATGTTGAAAGGAAAAAACTGGGGAAATCTGTGGATCTCAAGCCTGCTTCTTTTTGGACATCCATCTGAAAGCGGAGCTCCTCTCCTCCAGGGTTGTGGGTGCGGGAGCTGGCCGTCTCGCTTCTGGGCGCAGGGGCCACGTTCTAGGTGGGCACTGGGTAGAATGGCGGGAACACCTGAGCCACCGCACCCTGCTGTTTTGTGTGTTGTTACTATGGTACTAGGGTTAGTAGGCCTCTCAGAGGTTGACCCCCTGCCCCATGCCCTGAGGGTGCTGGGCCCTTGGGGCTCTGTGGGGGTGGGTGAGGGGTCCTGGGTGGGGCGGGGCCTGGCCCTGCAGGGAAGCCACCACAGGCCCCGTCAGCTGGGTTCCCACCTCCCTCCCTGCGCCTGCCACTCAGCCCCCTTCTTAGTCTCCCCAGCAGAGTTCGGGGGAGGAGGCCGGGGTGTCTGGAGGGCTCCTCCAGCCTCAGAGGAATGGGGGAAAGGCTGGGTTGTTGCTGATTCCAAGGGTAGGGGTGTATGACCTGTTGTCCCTCCTTACCCTGTTCCTACCCTTGGGGTATTGGACCCCGTCTTCCCCTGTTGCCCCCAGGAGCTCATTCTATCCAGGCCACTCTTTCCAGGAGGAAGAGCACCCTCTCCCTCGGCCCAGGGGAGAGGGGCCAGCACCACTGGAGACTCTGTGTCCAGTTCCACATCAAAGGGGAGTCTTCCCAGGGGGTGATTTGGGCCCTCAACCCTCTGAAGGTGTCTTCCGGGCCACAGATCCCACCAGACCTCTCAGGCTTTCGAATGGGTCTGAGTTGAGATGTTGAGCCCCTCCAGCTACTTGGTGACTTGGGGAGGTGGTGAGGTCCCTGCAGATAGCTCCAACTTTTGCATCTTAGCATTGAGCCCAGGAATAGGGAGGGAGCCTCGCTTCCCAACTCTGTCCCAGAAGAGGCCAAGTGGGGGGACAGAACGTAATTAACTCGGTGCCCCCTGGTCCCGCCGCCGAGGCAGCTAAGGCGTGGATGTGAGGAACTGTGATCCAGGGCCAAGTGGTTAAAGTGGGGCCGCGAACGAGGACTCCTTACCGCGGGCCAGGAGAGCCCGTGGCGGGTGCCGGCCTGGGAGAGCCCATTCCGGGTGCCCTGGGGACCCAGGTCCTCCGCGCTCTTATCCTGTCCCGTCCTGTCCTGTCAGGCAGGACTTGCCAACCAGCGGGACGCGGCTCCAGGCAGCTGCCCGGGTTCCAGGGCCAGACCACACGTCCCCACGCGGAGGGGCCCGGTCCCAGTCCCGGGGTCGAGGGGTGCTTACCTGACCCCGAGCGCACGCGGGGCGCCCTCTCCGGACACGTCCCGAGGAGGCTCCGGGTCTTGACCGCCGAGAGTCGGCGCCGAGTGGGCAGGAGGGAGGGGACCACGGGAGGGGCCGCCGTCTTTATACCCACCCCGCCCCCTCCCAGCCCGCCCCCAGATGCGCGGCCACCGGGAGGCGCTGCGGCCACGCGTATGGGCCGGTGGTGGGGGGGCCCGTGGGCTGAAGGGACGAAGCGGGGAACCCGGGAGGGGCCGAAAGGGAGTGGGGACGGGAGCGACCCCCTCCCACCCTCGAGACGCGCTGCCACCTCTCCAGAAACAGTCCCGGGCGGAGTCAGATGCCCTCCTCACGCCCGGCAGGTCTGCCTGCTGCCCGCGCCCCACTTCCCAGGCAGCGTCCCCTCGGGGTTGGGGGCCATGCCTGCAGTTCCCCTCGAAGGAGAACTGGCTGCGGCGTCGCAGAGCCCTCCCGCCCGGCGTCCGCGGACCCAGAGCCCCCTGCTCAGTGTCTCCCTGCTCAAGCACAGCGGGGCTCCCGCGGTTCTCCGTCCCGGGACACACAGCTCCCGCAACGACACTGGTCGGAACATGTGTCCTTCCTTGGTGGCCTCCCCCAGCCCTGAGCCCTGGGGTGACAGGGGAGATGTCAGAGAGCAAGGGTCAGTCGCAAGGGGTGGGAGGGGCAAGGGTAACCAGGACAGCCAGAGCCTCAGGTACTTTGAGTGGGAAGTAAAGGCCCTCTTCCTTGCGAGAACCCACAGGTACCCTTGGCGCTGGGGCGGGGGGGGCACTGTGATGTCCCTAGTGTGGTGGGGAGCCCCACTCCAAACGCTAGAGCGGCAGCCCCCCAGGACAAGGGCTTCTCCTTGAGGTGAGATGTTGGCAGGACTGGGGGCAAGGTCCCTGGACGGTGGGACAGGACCGCATCACCACCATCCTTGGTGGGTGTGTGTGTGGGCGGGGAGGGGGGAGGGGGAGCGGGGAGGGAGCACCCTGAAGCTCCAGCCTTAGATGAGCAACGACGCTGCAAGTCCCTGAGTCAGCCCTCTTCCACTCAAAGGAGAGAGACCCAGAGCCTCCTGGTCACCCGTCTGTGCCCGGCGAGGTCCTGTGTGCACCCTCTGGTCTTCTGGACCACCTCTTTCCACCTGCACCCTGATTCTGGCTCCTGGGTCCCATCTCCTGGCCAAAGGAGACTGAAAGGTGCCAAAGGCAGGCATCTGTAGAGGCAACTGTGTTCTTCATGAGCCCAGCAGTAGTGGTTATTCGAGTAGAGGAGGAACATCTTCCTGTGTGAGGAGGGACAGGCTGCCCCCGCTCTGCTGTCCAAAGTCCTGCATATTTGCCGTGGCCCCAGCACACGACCTCCCACCTGCTTCCAGCTCCCAGAGCCCCCACAGGCTGGACATACACGAGTGCCCACTCTGCTTTCCACTGCCCCCTCCCTGGGCAGCGTGAGTCGAGTAGAGAACTCTCCTTGGCCTCCTTTCCCACCCACTCGGAGCCTGAAACCGGGGCGCACTGGGGGTGTATGTGTGTGCATGTGGGTATAAGTGTGTCAGTGTGTGGGTGCACCTGTGAGCGTGTGAGTCTGTGTACACATGTGCATGAGTGTGGCAGCCTTGTGCTGGTCGTGACCAAAGCTCAGGCCCTGCCCTGGGAGCACGCCGGTGGGGCCCGTGCGGGGCCGCTGCGTCCACCTGCCCTCTCACAGGCTGCGCTTCCCCGCGCGCAGCGCCTTGGGTAGGAGTACAGGCCCACTCCTTTGGTTGGGGATTCCTTTGGCTCTCTGTGTTCCCGTCAGCCTGCCATTCCTGCCACCCCGCCCCCACCTCCTGCTCTGTCCTTCACAGGGCCCTCGCCTGTGGTCTGCAGGTCCTCCATCATTTTCAGTCCCTCCTGGGACCCTTCACAGCCATTGCCCCGTAGATCTCTAATCATATCAAGTCCTGCCTAGGTGCCTCCGTAGGGGTTCCCAGTGGATACAGGGAGTGAGGGAGGGGGTTCCTGCTGGCTCGCCCACCACTGGCAGCTAAAGGGGACACCATCCTTTTTGGTGTGAGAGGTATAGGTGGTTCCTGGAACAAAGTGGAGGCCTGGTTGCTTGATTTCATCAGGGTTGACCTGTGGGAGAGAGCGGCTTGCAGGTTCGAGGACTCGGGTGTTAGAGGGGGCGGTGGGTTGGTGCTGATCTGCGCTGACAGTCCTGAAGAAGGGTAAGGGAGACCAGCGGCCAGGGAGGCAGGGTGAGGACCGCAGGCCTCTTTGGCCTGAGGAGAAATCCCGTCCCTGGCAGAGGACATGGTGAGAAGACTCTGGCTCCAGGCGAGTTTGAATGCTTGCTGACGTCGGTCTGTGAAAGTCAGGACCCCAGCCAGGATACCCTGAGACCCTGAGACATGCCTGCGACATCCGAGTGGAAGCCTGAGGACGTGGGTCTGCAGGCTGCTGACCTCCTGGAGCCTTTGGAGGGCCACCCCTCCCTCGTTAAGAACCAGCCCTTCCTCTGTGCTGGAGGGTGCTGAGCTCCCTGCCCTGCAACAAGGCATCAGGTGCCCTCATCAGGCGCCGCCCCACCCTGTCCTCTGGCTGCCCTGATCAGGGAGATAGGCCAATGTAACCTGGATGGGGATGTGCTGGGCCTGGGCGGGGAGGAAAGGAGCTGCCAGCACACAACTGCAGGAGCCAGATGCGCCCCTGGGGAAGGACGTTGGGTCACTGACTCAGGGGCCGGAGCAGAAGACGGGAAGGAAGCATTAACTGGCTTGGAGACACTTTCTCGGAACATGGAACTTAATCCCCTGGCAAGCTCTCCAGGTCATGAGCAAACTTAGTTTTGGGGAAGCTGAAAGCCCGTGTCAAGCAGAGCAGACATGTACAAGGAGGTGGGTGGCCAAGGAGGAATGAAGAGGCAGGGGCTCCAGTGAGAAGGCATGATCCCTGCGCTGCTCTTGGACTGGAGCTAATTTTCCCATCCGGAAGTGCTGACTGCAGAGGTGGTCAGCCACCAGGAGGAGGGACCAGGCCATACCTGCACATGCATACACTGTAATATCCACTGGATACCCCCCGCAAAGAGACCTACAGCATTTACTGCATGACTGAACACTGGGGAAAAGACTGTCAAGATATTCTGAAGACAATTGGACATAGAATCTGAGTGGACACAGAACTTGAAGACCTAAAGTGTCATCATGGCCTCCCTGTTGGAGGAGGGGCCAGGTAGTAAAAGGAATCCTGGCTGAAGTGTTGGTCACTGTTGGTCCCCTAGTCAACAGACCACCGAGTGGTCATTCCCTTGGTCCCCAAGTGTGTCACTGTACCTGCATGCTGGGATCCTGGCCTGTGCACTTGAAGGTGTTGTAGGAGGGACGCCCAAGAGTGAACCTTGAGCACCGCCCCCTCCACAGCTCAGGTGGAAAAGCACAAACCACATGGCGTCCCTGGAGCTCAAGTCCTGGGGGATGTCAAGAGCTGGTCTGGGCCTTACAGAGAATGTCAGATCCTGGACAATGACCCTGAGACTTCACCAAGTAGCAGCCCAAGTGCATCTGCTGTGCCAGGTGAGGTGTCCTTGTCACAGCAGGTTAAGGCTATTGATTAACAATTACATTCTTTTTGCCCCATTTGGAAAAGAGGATTAGAACCGTTTGCATTCACGTGGGAGGGACAGTAATACTCATTTGTGGTTGGCTTCTGGGCCGCACTAACTCTCCCTCTGTCCTAATACAGTCTGAGGAGAGCCTGACCACTTGGATATCCATCCCACAGGACAGGAGACAGATCCGTTAGGGTGATGACATCATGCTGACTGGGCAGGACAAGGCGGGGAGCCTGGTGTGCTGGAGGCCATAGGGCCCATGTGTCCCAGAGGGTGGAAGAGAGCTCTGTAAATCCAGAGGTTTGCACTTCAGGGGAGTTCAGGGGGGGTGCTGTGATAGCCCCCAAAGTAAAAGACTAATTGCTGCATCTTGCTCCTTCCACTTGAAAAGAGGAAGCACAGGGCCCGGTAGGCCTTTTTGGGTTCTGAAAGCAACACGGCCCACTTTGAGGAATACTGCTCTGGTCCATATCTCAGGAGACACAGAGGCAGCCAGCTTGGAGCGGCCAGGGGCAGGGGCGTCTGGGTAGCGGGCCCAGGCTGGGTTCTCAGTCCACGCGGTGTGGGAGGTGTCAGTGTGGGAAAACATGGCCTGCGGAGCTCAGGGTGAGCCCCGGGATCCGCAGCAAGGCCGTGCATCTGCAGGGCATTCGCCTTTAGGGAAACTCTTCCTTCTCCTGGGCAGGGCAGCTGTCGCCTCTAGCTTCTTTCGCGACACCAGGCTCTGGCTTTGCGTTGGACCCATCAGAGAGGCTGGGCACTTGCTTTGCGACTTTGGTGGGACACTGCTGTTCCTACCCCTTCCTTCTGTGGAAGGATCCTGTGGTAATGGCTGGGCACCCCACGTGGTGGGTTTTTGTTTGTCTCTTCATGTGGTAATGATAGCATCGGCCATACAACTGCTCCACGCCTCCCGAGGAGCATGCCACGCGGGACGCTGGATGTGCAGTTCATGAACCCTCTGTGTAGCTCCCTCCTGCCCTCTGCTGTAAGGGAAACAGGCTGGAGAGCTAAGTGATCTTCCCAAGACAACATGGCCTGCTGGGGCAGGTCAGGCACAGAGTGAGCCCTGTGCACATTCACAGGGGGACCTGGAACCCTGATATTGTTGTCTAGGTTCAAACTGCGGTCCATCCCACCCTTGGCTGTAGGTGACAGTGAGCTCCGCGCGGTGTGGGACTGACTGACCTCAAACTGCAGCAATGACACCAAATGCCCATGTTTCTATGAAAACCAACAGGGCCTCCTGGGGTGGCTTTACTGAGACAGCCGTAGAGGAACCAGACTCGGCCTCACTGTCTTTTTATTATCTCTTCTCTGACCAGGTTTTGTTTTCCTTGATGTGCCGAGAGGTGGGCTCATTCTGATGTTCTAGAATCGCAGGTGGGCTTGCTCTGCTCCCTTCTCATCATACCCCCCTTGGCATCCCCGTTAGCTGGGCCCACGATCACACCAGCAGCCATACCGCCCCCTTGTTCCTACAGGCAGAGGCAGGACAGCGCAGGGATTCTGAGGCGCAGAG